TTCTTTTCTAAGGGAGCTGAAAAAATCCTTCAGGAAAACTAAGCAAATGTACTAGACTGGAACAAAATATATTGGTCAGTATCAATAGTCTATACAGATTAAATTCAGGTCAGCGGAGACACAAGAACAAACAACGTGCCTATGAAATACAATTAAAAACAAGTTTTGAAAATCTACTATTTAATAACATTTGATTTATAAAGATCTACACATGCAAATAAATCTTCTTTTCCAATGATCACCAATGGTTGTTGATTTAAAATTGAACATTATATTCCACTTTTTAATGGTTACACTATAATTAGACTATGAATCAGACTTGAATGAATGGAATATTATCAAATCATTATCATGATAACTGTAATACATCTGAACTTTTAATTTAAAAAATAAACAAAAGAAAAAAACAGCTTGCAATTCCTGAAGCTAAACATTGGAACAGGTCTTGTGGTTACCAGTCCAATTATCTAACTACTGAACTTTCATTCGAAAACAAATTTTTTGGATAATCTTCATTTTTCTCATCAATCAGTTCTGTTCAATTCACTTAATTTAAAAATAGCACAGCTATATAAAAATGGCAGAATTTCAACTTTATGCCTATACAAAAGTAAATTACTTGGTCAATATTAATTTCCTTTGAACATGTTTATTGTCTAAAACAATATTAGACTGAAATACAGTGAGACAAACAATGAGAAAAAAACATGTTTCAACTCGGAGTTATGTACCTTTAAGTTTAAATAAATATAATACAAATCCAAAAACAACTTATTTAATTACAATTCTTATATCTTTGTAAACAAAATTATCCCAGTTTTGCTGTGTTAATAATTACTGTTTCAGTCTGTAATCACTTCTGTTATAATAAGAATAAAAACACACATCACTCCTTTAGTAAAATAATTTATTTTATGGATGTTATAAAATAAAATAAGACATATCTCAGCTGAGGTGCAGACAAATGAACTAACATACTTAAGAGTGAGAGCCAGATGTGAACGAGACGAGGCCCCGTCACAAAATGACCATTATTGTCGCCTACGCATAAGCCCGATGCACGAATTCCGGTTGAAAAATAAAATAATATTTTAAAGTGTTTCTATTTTTCGACCAATAAAGATGCTTCCCTCCTAATTATACTCACGTCGTTTATCGAGCCTGTTAAGCCATAAAAAACGCCATAAAAGGGGTCACACGGGGAAGTACAACAGCAGTCAACAGGAGGCCAGGGAAGAGACCTGTCACGGTCAGTCAGCAGCAGTTAGCAGGAGGAGTGCCACGCCAACCAGTGTGAACTACTACGAGAGATCAATCCAGACCGGAAGCTGGCTTATGAACTATACCACAAGGTAGCTGTCCCAAACCCACACGTTCCTATTGAAATAAATCAAGTAAATCTATTTCTGCTGTTGTATTTCCTTCTTGCAACCATACACTTGTCTATAACATGGACTTCTGCTACGTGCTATGTCCCTTTAGGCTTTCCAAAAATTTTCTGTCTTTTGTAACTCTTAATAAAGTTTGCCAAACATTTACATAACCTCACTTGGTAGGTTATGAGCTGCTTACATCTGTTCCGCTTGCCTTCAATATTATGTCCTTTGAGTGTCAAATTTTCTAATCCTTCTTTCCTCATTATGTGCCCAAGAAATTTCAACTCTCTCTTTCTGATGCTAAGTATAAGTGTTCTTTTTTGTTTTCATTTTCTCTAAAAGTTTGTCATTGCTCATCTGTTCAGTCAATACATGAAAGTTTGTATTGTCTAAAACAATACCAAAAACCAAAACAAATGATATACCTCGTTAGATACTTACACAAATATTATCAACACCAACTGCTCTTTATAGACACATGTGTCTATATAAAAGCTCATATATTTACAAATACTTACTGAAATACAACTACACTTACAAAGCCCGTTCCTAAAATCATCTCATCTATTTTTTTCATGCTATGTCCCTTCAGGATGTTGGCAACAACAAGTTTGACTCTCCACAGGTTCTTTTTCCATGAAATGCCATAAATTCTTGGAGATGATAGTAGAGTGGTTTCCTGTTGCCTTATCCACAAATTGGAATATACAGTTTTCTTTTTCTTAGACTGGTTTCCAGCCAAGGCCAGAGAGCAACGTCTACCTTTCTATTTCATCCATAGCTTGGGTGAGAAGAGACAGAATCATACCATCCTCAATGGCATTTGTGTGAAAGTGAATTTAAATGACTAAGCCAGAATTTTAACTCAGCTTGCTAATTCTACTTTCTATACCAATCTCTGTTAAACTGCCCACCTAACTTAAATTCAGTTATTATAACATTTGGTATTTCCATGAATGGTTTGGTTTATTTTATTTTACAGAATATATAACCTCAATGGATTATTTAAGTTTGATAAGATTTTTCATATGAATAAAATATGTATTAATATTTTTCTTTTTTTTCAAAAATGTATTGCTGGTAATATATTTTTGATGGTAATTTTACTATAAAATTCTATTTTTATACTTTCATAGTGTTTTGACATCAGCTTAGATGTTAATTATTTGCCCATATCTGGAACCCTAATAGGTGCTCCACCCCAATGAATGGTTTATCTTGCAATTATTGAAGCTACTGATATTTGACACATGAACCATAACTGAAAACCAAAATGTCTGCTAGATCAATTTTCTACTTCAAAATAATATAAAGTTCTGTATGTTTTGTCATTATCTTATGAGATTAAATCATGGAGATTCCACATTAAACAAGTCTGGACACCTGTAATTTAGTACAAACCTGACTGGTTACTTTGTTTTTATTGCCGAAGTGAATAATGAAACAGAAGGAAATTCTGTATTAAATGTTAATAATATGTACCTGTTATAAAGATAAAAAGGCAGTGGGCAGTGACTATAGGGCTTGAAAGAGATAGTCACTGCTGTTTGGGTTGTAAAATCCAAAAGGAAATCTAACCTTGAACTGCAGATTTAGTCAATATATTTCCTGAATGCAGTGAAAAGTATTCTCTAGTGTCTACAGTTTAACCAAAGTGTTTTTGTAAAAGTCTGTGATCATTAATTGCTGTAAACTAAGAAATGTTACTCAATAGAATAATCACACAATGGTTGGTAATTAACAATAATACTTAGGACAAGAACAACACATATAAGATCCACCAGTAGCACATAGAAGAAGTAGTCAACTGCTAGAAGTGAGTCAAGTAAATTCCACAATGAATCTCCAACTGCAGACCAACATACAGTTTTTAATTCTGTATTTATGTGAATGGGGACATACCCATTATTTTCCATAGGTATGCAACAACATTAATGATCTTAAATTATATTCTATAAGAAGTAGAGATGAAGGATAAATTTTAGCAATATACAATGAGGTGCTGAAATCTCTTAGTATGACTCACTTCCAAGAAGATTAATTAATTTGTTTAATGGCATATCAACTCCTTATGGGTTATTTAATTAAGTAATAAAAATATATATGCTATTCTGCTTGAACTGCTACAATTGAATACATGGTAGATAATACCCAGCTTTTTTGTATACACATGTTTGTGTGAACTTGATTACTACAGGTGGTGATATGTGTGTTTTATGTTGCAGTTTTGAGGAAGTTATATTTTGGAATACAGTTTGGTTTCTTTAAGAAATTGTAGGATATTATATGAATTAATGTCATGAAAGAGTTTCCTTCAAGATTAAAAAGTGAGAAAATGTCCAAAGAAAAATGTAAGAGAATGACCCAAGAAAAAAGTTTAAAGAAAAACTAAACATCAACTGATGCAGATAGTGGAAGATGTAGTTGACCTAATAGTTAAGAGACCAGAAAATAGATTCAGCACACTGAGTTCAAACTCCAGACCAGTTGATCTTCACTTTGCACTAATAACCTTGGAAAAGGAATGAATCTTTCTTCAGTTATAGGTTTTTAAGGTTTGATTGTCAACCAGCCAAGAAGATAAACAAGTAATTCAAAAACAATGATCCCCTGACAAATTGTTATGGGTCAGTGTAGCAGAGTAAGTACCATCAAACCTTATGTTTAACATACCTTTGGGAAGGACTATATGAACAACATACTTTAAAAGATTGATCCTGACAATACAGATAGTAAAAGAAAATAAATTGATTAAATACAAAACTAATTTTATGTTCATTGATTCTTCATTTTATCCTGTTTAGATATTTCCATGAGATAATTTGAAAACTTTAAGAGTTGAATAATATGAATGCAAATAATCCAATGTCTAAAGCTGTGTTTCTTCTATAATGTCTCCTCAAGATGTGGCTCTCCACAATTTCCTGTCCTTTGTCACTCTTAATAAATTTTGTCTTTTTATTATTTTTCCAAAACCCTGTTTACTCAAGTTCATTAAGTACATTATGTGTTGTTTTCCTGTCTCTTGTCTTCTCCCTGTCCTGTGAGTATCAGATTTTCAAAATCCTCTTTCCTCATTATGTGCCCTAGATATTTCAGTTGTCTCTTCCTGATGTTGAATATAAGTTTCCTTTTTGCTTCCATTTTCTCTTATGTGTCTCAAATATCTGATATTTTAATCTTCTAAGTTAATCTATTTCTTTTATACTCTCTATTGATCTGTGGGCAACAGAAAGAAATAAAGATCTAATTGAATAAATTAATCAGCAGAGCTGAGAGAAATCCAAGTTGGGTTTGATGAACTTCCCTTTACCTGAAATCAAAAGAGATTATTTTTACTTAAAAAAGAAACATGTAAATGTATATGTTTGTAAACATGACTCACATATTGAGAAATTCAAAGCTCATAATATACATTTTCCTCTTAAGAGAGAAAAAAAAAAGTAAAAAGAAATTAATTAATAGAAATATAAGAATCAAATAGTGTTCAATGCACTGGTTTCATGGATTATAGGCTGTACACCAAAGACTTGAATAGAAAATTTGAGATGAGTAATGGTAGACATTAATAAATAAATTTTTTTTTAAATACATAGGCCCGTAAATATAGGCCTACATTTTAATCAAGCTGAAAACACAGGTTCTCATTTGATCACCAAAGTTAAGCAGTATCAAGCTTGGTTAGTACTTAGATGAGGGACCACTTGGAAACACTGGGTACTATATAAAACCTCCTATAATCCAAAATATGTCTCAGTTTTAAATAAACCAAAAAGGGTTGATAAGTCTTAAAAAACAATTAAGAAAATAAATCTATCTTCTATTTGAATTATACACAGGGTGATTGAAAATTAACTCCCTATTTTATGTATGATGGACTCTCCCATCTTGTAAAAATTATAGTTAGACAGAATCCATCAGATATAAAATAGGGAGTTACTTTTCAATCACCTTGTATATTTTGATTTTTTTTTCTTACAATGATGTCCACTTTGTATAAGATCCAAGATTCACTTGAGGTAGGGGGTTACAGAGTAAGAAGTAAAAGACAGTTTATGGAAGTATGTGGAAGAAGATAACAGTTAACCCTAGACTTGAATGGGTTAAGATATGTATTGATTTGGGAAGCATTTTCTTGGGAGTCAGTTCCACAAAGTAGTGCTTCATGGGAAGAAACTGTTTGAGAGAGTAGTTTACTGCAATGTGAAAGACATACTGGGTCTTAGGAGTGAACGTTAGAACTGGTGGAAAGAAGGAATCTAGTTCATTTGAACACTTTCCATGGTGCTGTGGAAGACAAGTTTAATGCAGTTTAGTCCATTAATGCCTGCTAATGTTTGTAAAATATGGTATTAATTATAAGAGTACAAATCCAGTATATTAATTATAGTTTTATAAAGAATCTGATGTTAATTAGAGAATATATAATTATAGAGAATTCAACAATATTCTGTTAACCTCTAAATGTAAGTCTTATAAATTATTTTTTTTGCTTCTTATCTTAAGTGGATTAGATTTAATAGTCATAGAAAAAAAATAACAAAATAGCTTAAACTAAAACACAAAATAGTTAAATAAAACACTTAAGTGCTATCTGGCGACTGTTTATATATCTAGTGACAACCTCCCTGGTTTCATCACAACTTTTTCTTCCAGTTCAAAATCTGAATGCCAATAGTACTACAATATTTAAAAGAGATAAAAGGGAAGTGTTTTTTTTTTTTTTTTTCCCTCGATACGATATATCTTTGCTAAAAATCTCAGTCAGCAAGTGAACGAGGAAAAGTAAATTCTGTGCGACTCTTTTTCAGGATATCACCATTGCCCGCAGCGTGTGGCATCCTCCACTACTTTGAAGTTGTATTAGATATGAGTGCTTTAACAACAACTTTAATGCTAGCCCTCAGCATTTTACTGGCAATGTCGATGCCAGTTGTTATTACTGCTGTAGTCAGTGTCCCCCATCACATGCCATCATAGAGTGTGCAAGGAACCTTTGTGAAGTTGGAGATGACAGTGTAAGTCATGCAGCTAACATTATTCCCCCTTGGGGCCTTTTTTACCATGTATGTCTTCAATTCTCACTTTTGGTATCTTTATTTTTGGAAGTCCCTCGTTCTGATCCACAGGCCGCCTGGGTCGTCTTCCAGGTTCTGTTTTTGCATTAACACTGAGGCAATCATCTCCAGGCAAATCAAGTTCCTGCTTCAGAAGGTTTCCAAATTCACGAGACTTCTCATGTGGCTTTTGGAACTGTGACTCAGGCAGGAAGAGGTCACGCCATATTCAATAGATAGCTTCCTGGTGAAAAGAACTTCACACACACACACACACACACATATATGTATATATAAGAAAATAAAAATAAGTTTCTTATAAATAACAATAGCTAAAAAAAAAAACCCAGATCATATGAGTAACATTTAATTGATAACAAAATTATACAGCATCTTCTATGTGCCATGACCCTTCACGATGGCACTCATGGCTCTCCACAATTTCCTCTCATTTGTAGATCTTAGTAAATTTTATCTTGTTGATATCTCTCGTAAACCTTCTTCTGCAATTCATTTACACAATCTCATTAGGTAGGTTATGCACTGCTTTCCTCCATCTATCTTGCCCTCAATATGTCTTGTGAGTGTCAAATTTTCCAAGCCCTCTTTCCTCATTATGTGTAATTTCAACTCTCATTCTGATTTTTAGTATAATTGTCCTTTTTGTTATTTTTAAATTGTTAAAACCCATCAAAAAAATAAAATAGGTTATTTTGTTCTCACAACCAGTGACATACTTCTAAAATCTAAGAGAATATTCAGTAATGAGAAGATTCCTAAGATGTCTTCACTGATTCAACAACAGTGTAGACATTAATTTATACTCTCTCTTCAAAATAATTTTTTTTTAAAAAAGCAGCTTTACCATTTCTACCAACTGTTTTATTTCATTCTGATCTGTCTATTTCTCTTCCCCTTTAACACACCAATTTAAATTCTGGGATAGACTCAATTCAAACTGGGAAAAAAAAAATAATAAACTGATTTGTTAACAGTCGTGTCCTCATCTTGTTTGTTATTGTCACAGCATTTCAGCTGTTGTACCCTCCAGTCTTTTTTTCAGGTGTTTGTTGTAGTTGATGGCCTTCTGGGAATTTTGAACGAAATTCTTTTTTTCAATCCATGACATCCTATGTATCAGTTCATTCTACCCAGATAATTTGTTCCTGTGATGTTACTTGTCTCTTCCAGTGAACCTGAATATGTATCTTTTCCTTATTTTATTTTTTTGCACTACCAGCGACAATAGTTACATTGGTTGTTATCACAAGTCCCAGGAATTCTTCATCTCAAAAATTAAAAAAAAAAAAAAAAATCTAATCAACTTCAAATCCTCTTTACAAAAGCTTTTAATACTGAATCATCACAGGTAATGATAATATAATTATTAATCCATATTTTTAGATCAAAGTAGAAGAAAAGTAAGTTTAAATTTATCTTTTATAAAAATGAAATCAAAAGCCCACAATTTTATTTATCTTTTTAAGCCCTAAATTATTTTGAAGGTATTTCAAATAAGTCCAATTTCCATTCATTAGAAAAAAATTATCCATAGGTAACTTTGATATTTATCAAATCCAATGTATGAGAAAAACCATTCAATAAAGTTTATTCATCAGAAAAAAAGTGCTGAAATTTCTCATAATGATGAAAGAGGACTTGGAAAATTTGACACTCACAAGACATATTGAAGGCAAGAGGAACAGAGGAAAGCAGTGCGTTACCTACCTAACAAGTTTGTGTAAATGAATGGCAGAACAGGGTTTATGAAAGATAACAAAAAAAAAACAAAAAAAAACAAATGAGTTACAAAGGACCAGAAATTGTGAAGAGCCATGATTGTCTACATCCAGAAGAAACATAACATATATACCTTGTTATGGTAATCCTGCAAATAGATATCTATCTTCATTTGGAAGAATTCATCATACAAAATGAAGATGTTTGCAAGGTTCTAAAACAAAACAAGATTCATAACTGGCTCAAACAGTTGTTATGCAAGAGACTAAATTAGAAATTTCTAATCTGTCTCTTTCAGTCTTTCTGGAACAAGACCAAAGCAGTAAGAAAAGTTCTCAAAGAAATGAATGACTAGATTCAGTAAATGTTTTACATTTTACAATATTTAGAACCTGATTTTTTTTAATAAGCTCAAGAACAAGTGAGATTTATTATAAAAAAAATATTCAGGTGAAGAATGAGATGTAATTTTAATTTAACTTTCGAACATGAACTACAAGAGTGGACTGAAAAGTTCATAGTCAGCCTACAAAATTTTCAAGCCACTCCCCTATTTTAACTTTACCTGTTGTGTCCATGTAGGAAATCATGCCTTTCCACAACTTAACTTTGTTTTTCTGTTATTTCTCCAAAGCCCTGTTCCACCATCCATTTACTCAAGCTCACTAAGTTAACTATGCATTATTTCCTCTGTCATTCTGCCTTGTGAGTATAAGATTTTATAAACCCTCCTTTCTCATTATATGCCCCAAAATCCTCAACTGTCTCTTCCTGGTGTTTCCTTTTTGTTTCCATTTTCTCCAAAACTTGTTGTTCACATGTTTGGCCCACATTATCCTCAGTATCCTTCTGTAGAACATTTTTGTTGCTTCAAGTCTACTTTTTATTTTTGAGGAGCTTTATCACAAAATTTGAATCTTCCTTAGATGATTGTCACAATTGGTAAATCTTAAAGAATTTTGAATGGAATCTAATTTTAGCCATAATTGTATGCCGTGCCCTGATAAAATCTCAAAATTCCTAAGCATTAATTTTCCACATTCTCAGGCTGACTCCCCACTAAGCCAATATTTCTTTCTGCACTATTTGACCCAGGATTCAAAATGTTTTGAAAACAAGTTTGTGGCTTCAACTAAATATATTTTGAATGCAATTGTATGCCTTCAACTACAGATAAAATGCATTGTTGGTCATTTTGCTATAAATTGTATTGTTGGTAATTTTTACTATAAAAATATATTTTGATACTTTCATAGTGTTTTGTTTGGGAGTCCACAATTTACCTATAGCTGTGTCCCTAACATGTGCTGCTACCATGGTTCAGAGGGGGATCTGGGAACCAACAACTATTAAGAGATGTTTCCATGTTCCTCAAAACCTCCAAGCTCTAGATTAGAGACCTTGCTGCCAAATGTAGTTTATCATAATATCCAGGAATAGCTTGAACTAATGACTTCCTGGCAACCAAATGACCATGACAAGCAGTTTTCTCTACTATGAAAGAATCACCAAAAGCTTGTTGCCTTTGGTTTGTTTGATTTTCTTTTTGGCAAAAAAGACAGCTATGTCTTAGTTAAATTTCTGTACTTACTTGATTATGACATAACTATCTGAAGATGCTTACCAATAGTGAAAGATGACTTTCAGAAGATAAACAAAGTATTAAGAAACAAGAAAATGTGACTAGAGACTAAGTAAAGAGTGTTGAACTATTAATTAATATCAGTCCTCCTGTATACCAGTTAATGCTGAACAAGCTTCTCACACATTAAGAGACTTGAAAGAAGAGATACTGTTCTGCCAAAAAAATCAGAGAATACCATGAACAAAAGGGAAAATAATGAATAGCTTATAAAGCATGCAGCAGAATTAGACCAGATGTAAGACAAGAAAAATGTGGAATATTGAATGCAATATCTGTACT